CACATTCTAAAAATGTCCCTTTAATAGAGAGTGCTGATTCATACACAGCCGCTTTGAGAAGGTGTACACACGTAGCTAATGCAAAACGTCTAACAATAATACAAACTTCCTCAACACTGAGGAAAAATAGAGATTTCATTAAAAATAACTGGAAAATGCGCTTAAACAATAGTATGTTCAGCCCATGTACTGAAAATTGCTAAAGATGGAACACCGACATTATTCCTTTTTATTGGTTCTTTTGCACCACCCATCATTCCTGGGCACTGAAACTGATTGCAAAGGGGGAATTAATAATCAAAGGCAATTCTGCTTCAATTTCCAATTCTAATGCAGTTTGATGTTTATGTACAATTGAGAGAGAACGTTGCACTGTCAAAGCTACTGGTTTTTTGATGAAACATACAATCAAGGCCACATCTGACCTCTCCAGTGGATCTAAAAGATCTCATGGCACTACTTCAAGATCCTGCAGGTGAGCAGCTGGAGTCCTATCCTCAATAAGCATCACTAAGTACAGATTCGTTGGTCATTACCACATTGCTGTTTTGAGATTTTACCGTGTGCAAATTAGCGGTCATATTTCCTACATAACAAGAGTGATATATTTCAAAAGGACTTCATTGGTTGTAAAGCCTTTGAAATACCCTGAGGTCATGAACAGATGATATAAATGAAGGTCGCAAGTTTTACTTTGCTCAGTGTTGCTCTTTTCAAAAAGTCTTTTTAAATAAACAACGTAACCTGACATTGAAACCAATATGAAGAGAACACTTCCAGAATTTGTTCATGTTACATTTACTATGATGCAAGAAAGAAAGGAAAGAAAGAAAGACTTGTAATTACATAGCATTTTTTTACAACATACCAAAGCATTTTTTAGCAATGAAATACTTTTGAGGTGCAAACATTGTTGTATTGATGGATAGCCTACAAGTCTTATGAGGTACTTGCATGTGAGATTTAGGCTGATACTCCACAGCAGCAGTGACGGACTTGCTGCACTGATACAGGATCAAACATTCAGAACAGACATTAAATTGAGGCCCTGGTCATTTACACTCTCGGTGTACCAAAGTCATTTACTCAACTTCTTCCTATACTTAAAATAATTAATTTCTTTCACATCAAAACACACTTACAGTATTGGCAGTAGTACACAAACTAACAGTTTCGATACAATTTTAATTGTTCCAATTATGCAAGCAAGCTGGTAGGACAAATTACCTCACACATTCCACGTGCAGTTTGCTCTATGTGAAATTGCAGACACATAAATGAATTCAAGATAACACTAAGAAGCAATTGTTCAACTATCAAAGAACATAATTAGATGGAACTCATCATGGTATCTCATCAAGTCAATTGCTCCTAGCCTCCACAATACAATCAACATTATCATTCTTCTCGTCTTCTTATGAGTGTCTGATCCCCTCTCAGCATGTCCTTCACTGGCACAGTGCAAACAGAACAGCTGCTTCTAAATGCCAGACAATGCCAAACAGGTTTAAGAAATAAAAGGATAGTGCAGTTTGACTTACCCAAAATTCTCTCTCCTTACTACACAAGAGCAATTAATTTCCTTGCACAATAATTAATGATTGATCCTGCCCGAGAAAGAGGACTGGAGGGAATCACGAGCATATAGTAAGTCATGCAAACTAGATCCCATTCATCGGCAGATCTTTGCTTCAGCATGTGGCACACGTTTCGTACAAACTAAATGTCACTATTGCATTACTGCCAAAAGATACTTTCAGACTTGCTGAACATGCAGTGATCTGATCTTCAACTATCGATGCCTTGTTTCATGAGAATTGCTATACTAAATGTATGCTATAGTGTCCAATAAAATCTACAATTATATCTATAATGACCTTCCCATGCCGTCAGCTCAGGGTTGTTATGGGATGGTTATCTACAACTGGCAGACTGCTATAGAAACATACATGCATAATAATGCTTTGAGAATGCTTCAGCTGCAAAGCCAACTTAGCCATGACAACTTTTCAGTCATCAAAGCAAAGATCTGCCAATAGATACTTTTCATCAGATTTTGTAAAAGAAAAATGGTTAGCATACTAGAACTTCGAGAGTCGGGGCCAGAGGCGAGTGTAGTGTCCATCACTAAGGAGAAGGTGCTAGGGAAGCTGAAAGGTCTGATGGGGGGGAAAAAAAGAATCACCCAGACTAGATACACTACACCCCAGGGTTCTGAAGGAGACAGGTGAAGAGATTGTGGAGGCATTGCTGGTGATCTTTCAGGAATCACTGGAGTCAGGAAGGGTCCTGGAAAACTGGAAAATAGCTAATGTAACACCCCAGTTTAATAACGTAGGCAGGCAGAAGATGGGAAATTATAGGCTGGTTAGTCTGACCTCAGTTGTCGTTAAATTTGTAGAGTCCATTATTAAGATTGCAGAGTACTTGTAAGTGCATGATAAAATAAGGTTGAGTCAGCATGGCTTCTTCAAGGAGAGGTCATACCTGACAATTCGGTTAGAATTTTGGAGGCGGTAATGAATAAGTTAGACAAAGGACAGCCAGTGAACGTAATCAATTTGGATTTCCAGAAGGCCTCTGACGAAGTGCCACACAGGATGCTGCTAAATAAGATAAGTGCCCATGATTTTAGGGCAAGTAACCAGCATGGACAGAAGATTGGCTGACTGGCAGAAGGCAAAGAGTAGGGAGGAAGGGGTCTTCTTGAGGATGGAAGCTGCTTACTAGTGGAGTCCACAACTATTCACATTATACACTAATGATCTGGACAAAGGAACTGAGAGTATTGTTGCTAGGTTTGCAGGTAACACAAACAAAGGTGGAGGGACAGGTAGTGTTAAAGAAATGTGGAGGCTGCAGAAGGACTTGGAGAGTACGAGAGTAGGCAAAGAAATAGCAGTTGGAATACAATATGGGAAGTGTGAGGTTATGCACTTTGGTAGAGACGTAGCCTATTTTCTAAATGGGAAAAGGCTTTGGAAACGTGAAGCTCAAAGGGACTGAGATGTTCTAGTTGAGGATTCTCTTAAGATCAAGATGTCGGTTCAGTTGGCAGTTAGGAAAGCAAATGCAATGTTAATATTGACTTTGAGAGGACTACAATACAAGAGTAGAGGTGTACTGCAGAAGCTGCATTAGACTCTGATCAGACCAGACATGGAATATTGAGACCAGTTTTGGCCACATATCTAGGGAAGAATGTGCTGGCCTTGGTGAGGTCCAGGGGAGGTTTATAAGAATGATCCTGGGAATGAAGGACCAATCATATGAGGAGCGGTTGAGGACTCCGTGTCTGTACATGGAGTTTAGAAGGATGAGGAGAATCGCATCAAAACTTACACTGAAAACTGAGAGGCCAGGATAGAGTAGATATGGAGAAGCTGTTTCCACTAGGAGGAGAGTCTAGGACCTGAGGGACCAGCCTCAGAATAAAGGGGCAACCCTTTAAAATTGAGATAAGGAGGAATTTCTTCAGCTAGGTGGTGAATCTATGGAACACTTTACTGCAGAAGGCTGTGGTGGCCAAGTCATTGAGCATATTTAAGAGAGAGACACAGGTAGGTTCTTGATTAGTATGGGGATCAAGGGTTCCAGGAAAAGGTAGGAAAATGGAGTTGACAAACATATCAGCCATGATTGAATGGTAGTGCAGACTTGATGGGCTCAATGGCCTAACTCTGCTCTGAAATCCTATGGCCTTATGTCGCTTCTTGAGTCATCTACAAAATATTGAGCAATGCTGCAAGTAGATCCACATGCAAAACTGCACATGCACAATGGCCTAACCGAGTCAACACCAGCTACAGTCAGTAAAATCATAATAGGTGATGTTCCTTATTCTTACATTATCATCATCCCTGTTTTCATTTTGCTGGTGACTCGTACTGAGGATGATATTAAAGGTGGAGGCAGCTCTGGTACAATACCTAATCAGGGTTCAAATCTAAATCTGAACATCATGCATCAAATCTTTTAATTTGCTAAATCTTCTGCTTTATTAATCTGATGTTTATGCAGGCAAACTATTAGCAAGGGTCTGTGAATTTAAGATGCTCACATGCATAAAAGTCAGGAAAAATAGTGATCAAGAACAGGAATGTAGAATGACCTTCTTTTCCTTAGCTTAGCACATGGAGACCCCGACTGCACCTTCATTTTCCATGTTTTCGAGCCACATCTGTGCACAGCAGGGATGGAGCATTGTCCTTTGAGGTTTTGAATAGCTCATTGTGGGATTTAAGCACTAGGCCCATCTTTTAAACTAGCATTACTTTACTGTCACGCAAATAAATGCAAGATATTATTTAATAAACTGAACAAAACTGGATTCCAGATAAGAAACAACTATCTAATGTTTAAATTCATTCACTATAATTTATTTCATTATTTATTTCACAATTTAAAATCTACACCAAACATGCCTACTTAGTCTAAGCTGTTTATTGGAAATTTGCAATTTTGAAGTTAATGAAATTACAGCAAAAATACTCACTCTAAATTCTGAACTCTAAAACCAATGTAATTATGTTTTCAAAATAAATGAGAGAAAAGATAGGTAGATTCAGGCAGCATAACTCTGAAAGAACACTTTCATTAAAGCCCAGCATATAACTGTAGCATCAAACATATACATACTTTTATTATTCACATTTTAAAACATTTTATATTTTACCACTCATGGCTTGTACAACATGGCCACAGATATACAACTAATTACCCATCTGAATCACTACACTACTGTTTTATCTTGCTCTATGTTGTATACCTACTGGATTTTAGCTTTTTAAAAAATAATTTTAGACTAGTTCATTAAGAAGGACATTTTTTTGATATCTCAGTCAGTACTTTTGATTGAAGCAACACGTCCTAATGACAGAGTAGATTCATCCTTAGGGGTTTTAACAGAAGGGAGCATTCCTTCAATCATAATTTATTCTTAAACCTTCACCTACAACTAAAGAATGGATGCTCCAAGGTACTGTAAAATATTTCCTTACATGTTTGTTCTTTATAAAGCAGGGCTTGATGGAAGATATCAAGTTTGAAAAGGGTAGGCAGCAAAAGAAGAATCATTGAGACAGTACGTTAAAACAATATTTTAGACAGGATTGAATGGCACATCACCTAGTTTCTGTAAATCCTAACACTCTAGGATACAGACTAAATTTCAAAATGGTTACAGTTTTAAGCTTGGGAGTTCAAATAAGTACCTGTAAAGCCCTTATTGGAATCAGAAAACAAGAATTGATGGCCAAATCTAAGAATAGTTTGATCTTTTATCCAGTAAAGATCAAAACACTACCTGAACCTTTGCTTAAGATAGTTAATAATTTAATTGATTCAACCAATTGAAACCATCAAGTATAATGACGGAGAAGCACTTCGATGAATTGATCCAATTTTATTTGAACTCCGCCTGTGGTTATTGGCATTGCAATTAAACAAACATTTACAAAAATGCCAACCTAAATATTTAGTAGACTGTTGAATTGCATCATAATATGGACAAAGGAGGGTTATATTTTTACAAAGTACAATTGCGATCATTACTGCAGCTTGAAGTCATTGTAAAATTTGGTGATTTGAGTACTATGAAAACAAGCAATTTTCAAACATTAGCAATAGTAATAGTAGTTTCATGTAAAGCTATAGCAGAATTAGCTAACAAGGAATAAGGAAGCACAACGAGTTTAGAGGGTCAGATTATGTAAGTGATAAGTTAGGGTGACGAAGCACACACAAACTTACTTCTTCCCAAAACGCTAGGAGAGATGATGTAGACGAGGAAGAAACAGAGCCCTTTGTGCAACAGATATGAGAAAAATACACTTAGTGAATTCCCTTTTGCAAATTCAAAAGTATAATAGGAAACCATCTCTCACAAAGAGATTGCTGCACCTGGGTATAGCCAACGTTGTTTGAAGGGACACCTTGATTTTGTTAAAAAGATCAAGATGTCTGGAATCAGCATAATGCAATGTCACAAAGCGTACAACGAGCAATATTTTTCAGTTGTAAAGATGATTAGGGATTACACCTTGAAAAAATGGAGTATGGATTGAATCAACTGGTCACAAAAATGAGCATTATATTTTTTCTGGATATCTAACTGGCATTTCCTTTTATCTTTTCAGCATCTGATTTTTATCTAAAAACCATGACAATTTGCTTTAAAAGACTGGAAATCATATTCCATATGGATGTCAGCTTCATGTAAATCTGTTTTTCTGTCCTTTCTTACTCTAGATACAGTTATAATTTCCTCGAAGCTCAAATAAAATTTACAAACATGCACACCGAAACACTTCCAAAGTTCAATAACCATCACTTACTTTAAATCCCAAGTCATGTGGAATCGGAGAGGTGTTAAAGTAATCAAAAATAGAATCCTGAAAATCTGGAAGTTTGAGACCTATCAAACAAACGGAGAAGCATAAGCACGAAACATAAATTCCTTTAAAACACAAAACCTAGCCATACAGATTTTACTGATCTGTTTTGAAAAATTATTTAAACTGTAATTACAGTTCATTGTAAAAATGCTCCAAACTGTAGAGGTCACTAACCTTTTTCTGTTCTGGCTTTGCTTTCTTCTAATTCTTTCTTTAAATTCTGTATCTCTTCTACAAATTTTTGATTCTTGCCATCTGCCTCTTTCAGTTTACTAAAAATCAAATTTTCAAGATGGAGATGGAATGCAGAACACCAAGATGAAATCAATAAAAATATTCATACATAGCTCAAAATTTGCCAAAGATTTTAAACACAATATTTTTAAACATTTTCCAGTTACCAAAATCAAGAGGATTCACAGGTTTTCACTCAAATAACACCCAATTGCATTCCTGAGACATCCCTATATACTGCATGTGAAAAGAATTATTACTTTAAGGCCATACAGTATTGTTCTATGTGACTTGTTAGAGGTGTACAAGATGATGAGTGGATAGTCAGAGACTTTTTCCCAGGGCGGAAATGACTATTACAAGGGGGCATAATTTTAAGGTGATTGGAGGAAGGTATGGGGAGATGTCAGAGGTAGGTTCTTTCCTCAGAGAGTGGTGGGCGTGTGGAATGCGCTGCCTGCAGTGGTAGTGAAGTCAGATACTTTAGAGACTTTTAAGCGACTCTTGGATAGGCATATGGAGGATAGTAAAACGTAGGGTGTGCAGGGTAGTTTGATCTTAGTCGGATAATAGGTCGGCACAACATTGTGGGCTGAAGGGCCTGTACTGTTCTATGTGCAAATGCAGCAGTCAATTTTAATACAGCAAGCATATACAAGCAGCCAGTCACGCAAATTAATCAAAGGTAGTGCTGGTTCAGGGAAATCAAAGTTTATGTTTAATATTTAATTTAAAGATGACTGTACATCTGCCAGTGCAGCCCTTGCACTGCAGTGAGCTGAAATCATAATCTCCTTTATGGAAAGAGTAGTCCAAATGTAGAACTCCCTCCTACAGTTCATTGTTCAGACAAATAGCACAGATAAAATGAAAAAAGTCCAATCAACTTAATGTGTATCTTGGCTATTTACTTTCCAATTGGTCAAGTTTAATTAACTTAGTTATGGGCTTGAAGTAGTCATTTGCATCTTTTAAAAGGAACATACTAAAAGTAATAAATATGCCAAACAATTCCTTGAGCCTGCACTGGCATTTACTTTAATAAGGTCTGCTTATTTAAATCATTTCCACTTTCTCGCTCACTCTGCAAATCTCACTAGTTCTCTCACGTACAAAAATCTTGAAATATACTCAATTGCACAGTATTTTCCAGACCCCAGAGTAGAAAATTCCAATAACTGATAACTTTGAAATTTAAAAAAAAAAATTCTCCTCCTAAATGACTGACTCCTCATCTTGGGAATATATTTCCTCATTTTAGACTTTGCAAGTAAGGGAAACAGTTTATTGTGATCTACCCTATAAAGTCCTTTAAGATTTGTACACAGCCTTGGTTAACTGTTAGGTGTGTTGTATGCTCTTTAAAGGAAGGGTGTGAAATTCACAAAGTGCACGTTAGTATTCACCATGAGAAATTACACTTGTGAACAGAGACAATGGGCTGGACCTTATAGAGTGGTATATTTTTCACACCCCGATTGAAAAGTCAGGCGTCAGCTGCCCATCTGAAACCTGGCTGTCCCATCATGATAAACAGCCTTACACTAGAAGCTGCCTTAACTGTTTCAGAATGGGACTTCTACCCCATCTGAGAGCAAGTCCCACCCTAAAGACTGCTGAACAATCTGATTTAATAAAACAAAGAACTGTAGACGCTGGAGATCCAAAATAAAAACTGCCAATTTTGATGAAGAGTCACGGGATTTGAAACATTAATCCTGCTTTTTTCTCAAAGATGCTGCCAGACTTGCTGAGTGCCACCAGCAATTTCTATTTTTGTTGCTGAACAATTTGACTGACCAGCAGGACAGTTGTCCCAGCAGTGCTAGGATTGAGCAATGGTCACTGATAGGATTACAGGTAGTTATTGGTTAAAGAGACTGATGGAACCCAGACTGATAAGTAAGTTTGGAATTTTGGACAGGTCTGGCTGGTAGACCCTGGCAAGTAGACGAGGATGGGTTGAAAGGGGTGGAGGTTTCAATCCTGGGGCAGAACATGTCTCTGGCCTGTGCAGGGGATGCCTCGAAGGAGGTCCTTTCTGTTCAACAACGTCCTGTGTGTTGAAATTTGCTGAGCCAATTGCCCTGCCTCTACTTCTCCTGATGGAAGTAAAACAGTGGCAGAGGCAGAATGAGGCACTTAAATATCCCAATAGGCCTCATGACAGGTGCAATATCTGATGTTTTTCCTTTTAAAATATTGGAGAAGGGTCAGGAGCCATCAAGTTCAGCCCATTGCGCAACACTAGATGTGAAACAGTGACAAATTGGCCATCGTAATTCCAAATTGGAACAGAGAATCTCAAAGCCCAATCTAATCTCATCAATTTGGACGCTTCTCCTGGCCCTGCAACTCCCTCTACTTGAAAAGCTTAAACATTTTTCTCTTAAAAATGCAAATCCCTGCCATAATGTTTTCAACATCTCAAATGTAAAGAAATTTATTCACGCCTCTTTTCTCAATTACAAGTGACAAATCTCCAACAAAACTAAAAATTGCTGGAAAAACTCAGGTGTGGCAGCATCTGTGGAGTGAAAGCAGATCTAACATTTCAGGTCCAGTAACCCTTCTTCAGAGCAGACAAATCTCCAACTGAATATTCCCAATTACTGACTCTTCAGCAAATTTTATTTTGCTATTTACCTCAGCAAATAGTTTCAAAATCCTAAACATCTATTAGATTTTCTCTAAACTCCCTGCTCTAGTGGAAAATAATCCAAGTATTTTAGTTTATTTTGATAACTAATTTCTCATATCTAATATCATCCTGATCAAAGCCTGCTATATGCACTCTGGAACTTCAATTTCCTTTCCATAATAAGCACACAGCACTCAACCATGATCCAACCACTGCCTTGTAAAAATCTTAGAATGCTTAGGATGGATGTTGACAGGTAATTTAGAGCCTAGAACTAGGGAACAAAAGGAAATTATCGGAATGTTCTACCTCCCCATTCTAAATTACTTAGTGCGTAAACATTTAACTGAAAGTCTAGTTCTAGCAAACAGTTATAGGAACTGTGTTTACTAATCCTTCAGATTTATGGAAACGAGATTATTGAATGGGCTAAAGATGACACCTGTGGAGGCCTATTCAATTATGAGCAATACCATGTGAAATGAATAGCAGTGTTGCTGAATAGATTTAACAAAAATCCAGTACCAGTCACAAGTTTGATAATGAACATCATACCTCTCAAATGCCATATTAGTAGCTTTCACTCTGCTTAGCTCTTCCTGTACCAGTTGCTTAGCACGTATTTCTGCCTCAAGAGCTGACTGTAGCTCTAACCTCGCTGACATATCCAACTTTGCACTGCGTCTCACTTTCCACAGAGGATCCTGGAAGAATATAATCAGACACATGAAATTAACATAACAGCTTGTCTGAAAAAGTCAAAAACTTGGCGGAGTTAGCAGCCCCGAAAGTATGAGGTGGCTGAATTAATGAAAGTTTGAAATACCCTATGTTAATAATATCTAACATCATTAGTTGCCATTAAGAGTTTGGATTCTCATACTAATAAATGCTTGGAAATACAGAACTTAACCATTGCTTAAAGACTAGAAGTTGAAACTTTTTGCCTTGCACTCATCAAAACTAGAACTAAGGTAGATGGTTAATTGTTCTTGCTGCAGTACCTTGCCAATTATGGCCCAACCAATTAGCAGCTTCTCATTTTGTATAAAACATCTCTTTTTTTCTAGTCTGTTCCTCGTGTCCTAGTGCAAGATGAAAATCTTCAATTTCTAGTCTCCATTTGGCAATGCTTAAGATACTCACATTCAGTAAATTCTAAAACATGATTGTGGCATCACTACTCACTTCTCAAATGCAATTAGAATGAAAGATATATATGCACACACACATACATAGACATAGACATGACAGATTAATATCCAGTGCATTAACAGTTAGGCTGCTCAACAATTGAGGACGCTAATTGTAACAGTATTACACTGGGGAGGCAGTGGCATAACAGGAATGGCACTAGACTCGTATGTATGTTGAACTTTATCACTCCATTAACAATGTCGAATCAAAACGATGGTGCATTTCCCTCAGGTTGTCAGTGACCAGTAACTGTAATAACATACTATCTTTACCAAGAACATTTAATGCTACTCTGTATTTGTAGTGTTATACAAAATTAGAGATTTTCCAATTAAATTTACCAAGTGTAGTATATAGCTATATACTGATGCTTCAGAAATTGCTTCGCGAATGTGTTGATTAAGCAGGCCTTGAGATTAATTGTTAATTGACATAGAAAAGTAGACTTGTTACTTCGTTGTGAGAGGTTATTCACCCATAAATGTAAATGAATGTTTCTAATACGAATTAGAGTCATTAATTTGTCGTAAAAACAAAAGTGGAAATTTATAACGTCCAAGCTGAATTAAACAAGTGTAAATGACTATTACAATCATACCAGTGTTCTTGAACCTAGACTAGAATTCCGCAGTGATTCAAGTTCTTCTGTCATTTTGGATGCCAGAGCCTGTAGGTATCCTCTTGCGTCTTTCTCATCACTCACCCTAACAACGTAAAATAAAAGTATCCTTAATTACCCATGTGTTATTTTACACTAACAGTATTACACTGGAGAGGCAGTGGCATAACAGGAATGACACTAGACTCGTGATTCAGAACCTCAGGACAATGTTCTGCAGTAAGAAATCCCACCAAAATTCAATGAATTTCTCTGGAACTGAAAGCTGGTCTAATGGCAACCACATAACTGTTGATCACCATCAAAATACCCTTTGATCCCCTAATCCTGTTAGGGAAGGTAAGCTGCAACTCTGTACCTAGGTCTGCCCTATATGTGTGACTGCAGACCCACAGTAATGTGGCCACTCTTAACTGCCCTCTGGCCAATTCGGGATGGGTAATAAATGCTGTGGCCACACCATGAGCAAATAAAAAAATCTTATGCAATCTTGTATTATGGTCTTTACTACATAAATATGTGCTTGTTTTATATAGTTTTACAATTAGTCATTCGATTTAAAAGTTTTAAAGTTGTTGCACATTTTGTTCTAAAAAGCATCCAAACAACATATGATAAATTGTTTTGTTAAATATCAGAACTTTCGAAAAAAGACTATTTGAAGTAATTTTAATATTTGACTTCCACAAATCATTCATACATTGGACTCAACCTCTAACACCCTTGACTTTCTTGTCAAAAATCTGATCTAACTAGGCTTTGAACATATTGGATGAACTGGTGGAAAATGTTCTTTGGAAATTCAAAAATAGTTAAGGATTGACCGGGGAGCTATTTCTAAAATATTTGAAAATGCAAAATGCTAATAAGTGGCAGTCATTTGTACACAGACGGATAAATCATTCCTCATTATATAATTCGTCTATAATAAATAGATAACACAAGATAACCTAGAGGCACTGGAGAAACCACAATCATAGAAATGACTACAACAGTAGCAGTGAGACTATTCTATTTTTCAAGGAATCTTAAGACATACCATTGTATAATCTCTGCAATCTGAGCTTCCCAGTGAGCCACTGACTCTTTTCTAGCTGCAAGGTCCTGCAATTCATCTTCAAGTCGTCTGTTCTGTGTTGTAAGCTTATCCACAAATGTACACATCTGAAAATAAAAGCTAAAAATTCTAAATTGGGAATAAACAAATATTTCCAAGTGGATCGTTTGTGAATACTTCAAATAGAATGTTTTATTTCAATGCTAATTTATGAAAACATTCTTTAAAACCTAGTAAATGTTTACTCATTATGGGAGCTCAAACACAATTTGATTAAACATCTAACAATACCATAAGAAGCAGGAACAGCAGTAGGCCGATCAGCCCCTCAAACCTATTCCACCATTCAGTAGGATCACAGCTGATCCAACGTTCCTCATGCCCATTTTCCTGCATTTCCCCCATAACACTTAATTCCGGACCGATCAAGAATTTATCTATCTCAGCCTTAAATACACACAAGGACTCTGCCCTCACAGCTCTCCGTGGCATGCAACTCCAAAGACTCTCAACACTTAGAAGAAATTCCTCCTCATCTCAGTCTTAAATTGGCAACTCTTCATTTTGAGACTACGCCTTCTGGTCCTAGACTCCCATGGAGGGGAAACATCCTCTCAGCATTTACTCTATGAGCCCCTTCAGAATCCTACATTTCAATGAGATCACCTCTCATTCTCCTAAACACCAGTGGAGAGAGTCCAACCTGTTTAGCCTTTGCATATAAGGCAATCCCTTCAGACCAGGGATCATACTCATGAGCCTCCTCTGAAGTATCTCCAATGAAATCATAGCCTTAGTAAAAACCGAAAAAACTGCAGATGCTGCAAATCAGAAACAAAAACAGAAATTGCTGGAAAAGCTCAGCAGGTCTGACAGCATCTGTGGAGAGAAATCAAAGTTAATGTTTTGGCTCACATGATCCTTCCCCAGAAATCATATCCCTCCTTAAATAAGGGGACCAAAACTGCTCACAGTACTTCGGATGTGGTCTCACCAGAACTATGTACAGTTGCAATAAGACTTCCCTATCTCTCATACTCCAACCTCCTTGAAATAAGGGACAATATTACATTAGCCTTCCTGATTACATGCTGCACCTGTATGTTAGCTTGCTTTGTTTCATGCACTAGTACCCCCAAGTCCCCTCTGCAATTTTTATCCATTTAAATAATATTATTCTTTTATTATCCCTTTCAAAATGAACGACTTCACATTTTCCCACGTTATACTTCATTTGCCAACATTTTGCCAACTTACTTGACCTATCAATATCTCTTGTAAACTGTTGGTATCCCTCTTGTAACCTGCCTTTCCACCTATTTTTGTTTTGTCTACAAATTTGGTTACAGTACCTTCACTTTTTTCCTTCAAGTTATTAATATGTATTGTAAACATCTGCGGTCCCAGCATTGCTCCCTGTGAAAGCCCACTACTTACAGGCCAGCAACCCGAAGAAGAACACCTTATCTCCACTTGCTGTTTCCTGCCCATTAGCAATCCTCTATCCATGCCAATATACTAGCTCCAACACTGTGGGTTCTCATCTTATGGTTTAACCTTCTGTGAGGTACCTTGTTGAATGTTTTCTAGAAGCCCAAATAGAACACATTGGGAAAAGCTCAGCATCTGTGGAGGGAATCAGAGTTAAAATTTCGGGTCAAGTGACCCTTCCTCAGAACCGATGGTAGTTAGGAAAACAATCGGTTTATATGCAGAAGATAGGGTGGGGGGAGGGGGTAAGGTATAAGCAATAGGTGGGGATAGAGCCCAAAGAGAGAGAAGAGCAATTCGACAGACAAAGGAACGGATAACGATGAGGCTAGGAGGGTGAATAGCTATTAACAGAGACTGTTAGTGGTAACGATGGGTGGTGTGTAATAGCAGCCTGTGTGATAACAAGGCCTGGTTGTGGGGGTAGGAGTAAAGACATTGGAGAGCTCAGGCCCTAAAGTTATTTAACTTGATATCAAGTCTGGAAGGCTGCTGGGTCCCCAAGCAGAAAATGAGGTGTTGTTCTTCCAGCTTGTGCTGAGCTTCACTGAAACAGTGCAGCAAGCATGAGACAGAGATGCTGGCCAGGGAACACAGCCGTATGTTAAAGCCGCAGGCAACTCAAAGTTCAGGGTCTTTTCTGTGAACGGAATGCAAGTGTTCTGCGAAGTGGTCACCCAGTCTGTCCTTCATTTCCCCTATGCAGAGGAGACCACATTGTCAGCAGCAAATGCAGTAGACTAGATTGTGTGAAGTGCAGCTAGACTGCTGCTTCACCTGGAAGGTGTGTTTGGGCTCTTGGATACTGAGGAGGGAGGAGGTAAACAGGTATTACACCTTCTGCAATTGCAGTGGAAGATGCCGTGAGGCTGTGAGCAGGGTGATGGGAGTGAAAGAGGAGTGGGCCAGGGTGTCCTGGAGGGAACGGTCCTTGCAGAAGGCTGACAAGGGTGGGGAGAGGAATTATTTCTGGTGGTGGCGGAAATGGCAGCTAATGATCCTCTGGATATGGTTGCTAGTGAGATGGTAGGTAAGGACCCGGGGTCCCTACCACTGTTGTGAAGAGACAGAGTGGGTGAGGGTTGAAATGCAGAAGATGGATCAGACCGGCTGAGGGTCCTGTCAACAACAGTGATGCGGAATCCTCGGTTGTGGAAGAAGGTAGACTTTTCAGAGGCTCCCTAATCAAAACTGGCACCATCCGAACAAATACAATGGAGATGGAGAAACTGGGAAAATGGATTAGAGTCTTTACATGAAGCAGGGTGTGAGGATGTACAGTCCAGGTAAATGTGGGTGTCGGTAGGTTCACAGTGGATGTTGGTGGCCACAGTCTATCCCCAGAAATGGAAACAGAAGGGAAGGGAGGAGTCAGATGGACCAGGTGAAGGAGAGAGCAGGGTGGAAATTGGAAGCAATTTTTGTAACAATTCCATTGTTTCCCTTCTATCCATTGTGGTCATTAGTTTATATGAGTTACAACAAATCAGGCAGTATTTTTTGATAACATATACAAATGTCTCGTTCCATCCTTATCAAAAGTCTCAGCTTGAGCACTTCCCAGCAGATAACGCGGAATAACAATCAAGAGGAAGAAACCAGGCTGATGTTCTTGTTGAAAGCCTATGACCATTAAGTACTGGGCTCACTTGTTTTCACCAAACAGCTGAAGGGTCAGCCACCTCAAATATTGGGTGCAATATAGTTCCTGAGTGGGACTTCCCCTACTGGTTGCAGAGCCAGTGTAGATCCAGTGTTGCTGCCGCACATAGGCACAATACTATTTAAATGCAATAAGGCACCTAACTGGCTAGTTCCAACTGTCATCTCAAAATTATATCCCCAGTAGATGGAAATCCAACCTTGAGGGCAGCTGGTCAACAACTCTCCATTGCTGGCAATGCCACCGGGAGCAGTGGCTACAGCACATAATGCTTTGAGGCCTTTACTAGGATATTGCTGGATCAATGGAGACAGATGAGCAGGATGGGATTGTAGGATGATGGTTTGAGTAGATGGAATCAAATCCAAGGTCAGGAAGATGACTTCAAACAACCAACCACACCGCACCCAATTTCCTGATGCTGAGCACCTTAATCAGAGACCTGCACAAATTCCCTTTTGCTCAAGTTCCATTAATTTTCCATTAAATCTCAGTAGGCTCAAAGGTAATTGACTCTAAGTGGCTCATTGGTGAGACTAATTGACACTACACTGCCCGTAAGCAAAATTTTAATTGTCAGGGTCTTGCCTCTCAACATTAAATTAAGACACTGTTCCTGATACCACAAATCAGATGTGGGAATTCCTATTCAATTCTCCCTGCCCCCTCCCCCATTCATCATCCCTCCAGTGGGTTACATTAATCATCTTTCCATTGATGCAGCAGACTTGCTGTGTACTTCAGTACTTTTGTTTGTTTTTATAAGTTTAGGTCCAATTTTTGTAGTGGCCAAGATGAACTCTTTTTTTAAAAAAAAATCTAACAATTACTCTAAATAGGTAATTGATATAAACATTTTTAATCCATTACAAAAATTTTCAGCTGAACACAGTCAACACAAAAGTGTTAGCACATTTTGGGGCAAAGCTGCAACTATTTGTTTAATAGAATTAATCTTTCAGTTATTAAAGATAATGTAATAATGTAGTATACATCATATATACCATAAACAGAATAATATTTACTTTATCCAGGATTTAAGACTTCTACCAAATGCACACAAAACAAAAATTCAACTGATCCTATGTAGATTAGATTGCCTCTTGAATAATTCATTCGCATAAGCCTTATCCTTGGCGCTGCCATAACTTTTTGTGAAGCTGTAGCTACAAATCCAGATGTCATCAACTGACTCTACCAGGCAATGAAACTAAGTCAGCAACAATAGGCAAGTGTCAGAGAAATCTATGAAATCACTGATACTTTTTGATATACTTTATTTCAAAACAACAAATTAGTCCAGTCTTACCCAAAATGAATTCCCATCTAAATGTGGTCATAAGCATGTGTACATTCGATAACACTTCACTTCAAAAATAAATTTATGGGGTATTTCATACAATTTATATGAACGTTTGCATTAATGTTTCAAATCACAGCTTGAAATAAATAAACACCTTTGACTGAACCCTCTGAAGTTCTCAATAAATGCTCTATGCTTTTGCAGTAAAACACAAGGCAGAAAGCGATATTTCACAATTTTTCTCAATATACCTAAACATTGCAAATTAATTAATGCAAATGTCGACACCACAGAATTAATGGACGTAGGATAATATTATTTAAAATAAATATCAAGTGACTTACTCGATCATTCTCAACTGAAAATTTCTTGTTCTCTTCAATGAGCATGTTTCGCTCACATTCATATTTCTTTTTCAGTTCACCCAGAGTTTCCTCCATTTCATTGTGCCTGTAAACATAATAAATAAACACAAATAGATTCAGCACTTTGCTTTCAAATTCACATAGGTCTTTTTTTTTTAATTAAAATTAATATCCACCTATGTAGATTATCCGTGAAAGGTTGTTACACCTAAAATTTAAACCAAGGGTAAAATTTGTAAGCGAAGTCTCTTACATCTCCAAACTACATGCAAAAGTTCAGAGAAAGGATAAACAAAACATTCACAATTTGACTATCTATTGTACATTTTCATATATGCTGAGCATAACAGTTAAATAAAGCTTACAGTTCGAAATGAGGAGCTCGTAGCAACATAATCTTTTTAAAATCTTAAAAGCAGTGTCCTTAATACTTGCATTGCTATCAAATAATTGAATTGCTCCCAAATACATAAAAGGATTAATAAAGAAATACATCTGAAGCCAGTATGGTAAGTTTAATCTAAAACATTTGCAGGCCTAATGTCTACTATCTCGTATTATATTAATTTGGTTTTGGTAAATGGATTTTTGATATTATAGCTACGGGAAGTAATGAGTTAACAGGCTGCATTTTTTTCCCTCTCTATGAATCTAACAATATGGCAGCAACCATCATGAGTAAAATGAAGTCATGATTAACCACAAAACATTTAACTATTTATTAAGGTAAGAACATGGTTTCAGGTCAGTTCTTTTCTCATTATTGGACTTCCTTATTACGCTGAAGTCCTACTGCTCCCCAGTATGGATTTCTCTTCCTTACTGTGGAAAAGCATCTGATCTGTGCTCTTGTCCATGATGACATAAGACATTGAGAAAATATTCATGACCCGCCATTTCACTGTACACTATGTTCTATGAAGATCAATGTTAACAAGGCAGTTTTCTATGTGGGCTTTTCTCCTATTCTCCGAAAAGATATTTCTCAAACTTTACTTGCTTCGTAGTGCTCTTGAAAACGATGTATCTTAATTTAAAGCAGGTAGTTCTTAGTAATTAAGTACGATTGTGCCTTCCTTTGGTTAATTACCTGTCTCTCTTGGCTTTCTCCAATTTGTCCTTTAATATCATGACATCCTTTTGCAGAGCTAAATGCTGAGCATCTGAATCATGGAGCTCCTTTTTAAGGTTCTTAATTTCAGTGCTGTGCGCAGCTTCACACCTCACCAGTTCCTCTTCATAGAAAACCAGTTTCTTCTCCAGCTCCGCTTTTACCTTGGAGAGTTCTTGTTGGTGCTGCAAGCTGGATCCAGCAGCCCGACCACCTTGCTTCAGCTAAGCACATACAAAGAAAATTGTGGAAACTAGTTTAAGATACAAAAAAGCCCTTCTCTTGGAGCCTAATCACTAACACAAGTCCTCTGGCCAAGGAAGTTGGAATATTAATCTCAACACAGTAACCCAATACTCTTTTCTGCTTAGATGTCAACCTATTTATTTAGGCAATATGAAAACTGAATTAAGTGAAGACAAATTGTCTGTAATGAAAACCGAAAGAACTGCAGATGCTGTAACTCAGGAACAAAAACAAAGTTCCTGGAAAAGCCCAGCAGGTCTGGCAGCATCTGTGAAGGAAAAAACAGAGTTAACGTTTTGGGTCCGGTGACC